AAAATAAAATAAATCAACGGACCATTTAAAATTATTTTTTAAAAGTCATGGACCAAACTTTACTTTTTGAAACGGACTAAATAGATACACGGGGACTAAAAAGAAGGACCAATAAATCTAGAAGGATCTGTACTCGACTCGGCCTTTTAGGCTCGTGGTAGTTCTAATAAAGTTAATTTCTTTTTTTTTTAAATATATATATATGAAACAAAAAAATAGACCACTCATCGAAAAATTAAATATTATTACAAATCCAATTATAAAGATTTTTTTAGAATGAGATTTTTTTTTAATTCATGTCTTAACCGACTGAATTAGAATTAGATTGGTTTTTACGTTTTGATTCAATAATGGTTATTCTGTTAAGAAATAAAAAATCATTGTTAAACCTTATTAGATTACCTTCGAACATTAAAAAACTTGAGATAAACTTGAAAAAGAAAATCCTTTTTCCTCACTTTATCTCTTCTAAGAAGAAAAAACAGCTTTGATTTGCGGTGAGCAAATCAAATAAGAAACGTTGATGGTGGCTTCAATTGGACAACTTTGATTACGAACCTCGCGATCGCCTCAAAGCCCATCAAATTCGCGTGGAATTTGAACTTGAAAAAACAAACTTTTCAAGAATTGAAAAAAAAAAAAACAAAACAAAACTTCAGAGGGTCAAGTCTTTCGCCATTTGCCAGCGGCCCGATGATTAAATTTGCGCCTCTCAACAGCAATCTCCATAACCAAAATCTGATACAGGCAGTTACTGCTCACCGACCTTTTCATCCTTATTTCTTACCCACCTAACATTTCTTAATGAACTCTTCCACCTTTAAGTCTCCCACCTTTTTTTTCATTCGTATTTGTCAACCCCCTTTTGCCCCTTCTCGTTTAATCACCACTCGGTCGCTTTCTGTTTGCTATAATCTTGGTAGGAGCATCCGTAAGCTCCGTTTTCCACGTTCTCGGCTGTATTCTAGTGAGTTTTTGCACTTTCTGTTGTTTGATTATTGAGGAAAATCGTATGAGATGGAAAGTTTTTCCATTTGGTTTCTGGGTCTTTTAGATTTTCTCTCATCTGATCTTTTTTTCCTTGTGTGGGACGGATTCTTGAACTTTAGCTGTTCATTTTCTCAGACACCAGTACGTTGTGATTCTTTGTTCTAATATTTTTGAATGGATTGCTGTATCTGGGGAAGTGGCAACGGTTATAATCTCCTTCAATCTGAGACCAGTCATTCAGCCATGACAATCGGTCCATTTTGGCTTGGCCACTTACCTAGCGTCTGGTGGGGCCATATTCTAGTTTTATGTTTTGAAATGATCTTTCTATAGATTTCTAGTATGTATAATTGAAGCTCAATCATGGCATTGCTACTATTCAATGAGTATAATCTCATTAAATCTGAGACCAGTCGTTCAGCCATGAGGATTCATCCAATTTTGGTTACCTCACTTGTCTGGCTCGGTTGGGCCAGATCATAGTGATCTTTCTGTTAGCTTCCATGAATGTATAGTTGAAACGAACTTCAGGGAGCTGGTTTTGTAACAACGTGATGGATTCCTCTAATTGGAAGTATAGAAGTTTGGTGCCAATGGTTCTTATTACTGATTCTTGTTTCTTTTTCATGTTGTGCAGTAATAAGTTCTCATACCTTCATGGAGGTGGTCAAGTCAACTGCGAAGCATGGGTCAACTTTTTCTGAGAGTGTCGCTATTAGAGCTAACCAGAAAAGTCACAGTTACGGTCAACTAATATCATCTGCACTGAAGATATCTGCTCTATTGACTAGCAGCGATATAAAAACTGTATGTCCAATTTATATAGTGGAAACTGAATATTATTCTAGTTTGATCTTGTGGCCTTTGTTTGTTGTCTTTGTTTGTGTGAGGTGAATCTTTAGTGATTGTTGAGTAGAAGTTCTAATTGCTGTTTTATGATGTGGATGATAAAAAATGAGATTTCTGACATGGTTACACATTTAACTTTAAAATGTGTTTTTCTTTTTCAAGAAAATGTCAATTATGAATCACAATAATTATTGTTTTCAGGCTTGAGGCATTACTTATAGTTCTTGCTGTATTTTCTTTTAAGTATAATTAAGTGTACGCTTTATAGTTGTTTGAACACTCATCACGCAATTGAATCACGATCTTATTAAATGATGTGAAGGAACATGGGAATCTTGGTGGAGCTAAAGTTGGAATTGTGGCAAAACCATCAGCTGAATTTCTTGCTGGAGTGTTGGGGACTTGGCTAAGTGGAGGTGTTGCTGTTCCACTTGCACTCAGCTACCCAGAGGCTGAGCTCTTACACGTCTTGAATGATTCGGTTAGCTCTTGCCTATCCTCTCATCACCTTTTTGTTACCTTGTAAATTTTTTTATCTGGCCTTCTACTTGCAATTTGATGTGTCAAATTTCACACACCGTTAATTTTGTTAATTGTGTATCCTCTAGTGCATCTGTAATTTCAGAAAGTCCTACTATATCTCTCATTTTCTGGGCTCTTAAATTATGAATATGTGTTATTCTTTTTACTGAAAAGCTCTATTTTGACTAGTTAAATCTGTTAGTATCTATTTCTAGTTTCCATTTTACTTTTACTGATGAGTGAAGTCTGGATTTTTTTCTACCAACAAATTTTTAAAGTTGTAGAGTGTTTAATGATATACTTGGCTATAGGAGGTCTCCATGATACTGAGTACTGAAGATCGTGGTGAATTTATGCAAAGTGTTGCTGCTAAAACTGCTGCAAAGTTCTCTCTTATTCCACCAGTTCCTCATATTTCTTCAGAAAGAAATCCTCATGAACAACCAACAGATATAGAAGCAGATGCAGATAGAATTTTTCAGGGGACGATTGAGAATTTGAGTAAGATAGATGATTGAGCAATGGTAGAGATTATACATAGTAACAATCAAACCATGTTCTTGATTTGTCATTTCAAATATGCAGGTGATGATCCTGCATTGATAATTTATACCAGCGGTACAACAGGTAAACCGAAAGGAGTCGTTCACACGCATAAGAGTATCACTTCACAGGTATGGCATGGTTTTTTGTGTGTGATAAATTATAATCAGCAACCTCACCCCCCACAAAAGTAAACAATAATACATGTGAGGTCAAGCATTGATAATTGATATAAATCTTTTTTTTGATCCTTTGGTCTAATTTCAGGTTCAGACCTTGTCAAAAGCTTGGGAATATACGTCAGCCGACCAATTTCTGCATTGTCTTCCCCTGCATCATATCCTTGAATTTAGTACATTTGTTGCAGTATCGCCTTATTTGTCTTATTTCTGCAATTAAAAATATAGTGGAACGATTGTTGATTTTTAACTAGTAATTTACATGTTCATGGGCTGTTCAATGGCTTGTTGGCTCCTATCTATGCGGGTTCCACGGTAATTTAACCTTACCAACATTTTTTTAGTAAAGTTGGTTGTTTGTTTCTTTCACGTCTGCTGTTGTTTAGGCATATAAGTTCTAGCCCAATATCGAACATCAGCTTGACTTTGGCTTCATTTTCATGTTTACGTTGTGTAAATCAAGGTCGAGTTTATGCCAAAATTTAGTGTCAGTGGCATCTGGAAAAGGTGGCGGGAATCATATCCATCCAACAGTTCGAAATCTGATGATGCTATTACAGTTTTTACCGGGGTAAGCGTGGTCCTTATGTCAAGCATGCATATTTCTTTTTTGTTGTTATACTACATAGATTATAAATACAGCATATAGCTAATGCTTACCAAATACAAGTGCCGTGAGACTTGACTCTGTCTCATATATATATCTAGTCAATTGAACTCAATTGGTTCTTACAACGATTGGCTGTCTGACTTAATGAATTATTAGAACGTTTTCATTTATTAATATTCTTACCCATAGGAAGGAAAAACAGAGATTACATATGGGTTCAAAAATTGCAGCTTACTTTCTTCTTATCTTTGGAGCACCATTATTCAAATTCAGAAGTTCTTATCTATATTAAATGTGCCTTCTAATTAAATATCTGTGGTTGTATAGGTTCCGACCATGTACGCTCGATTGCTACAAGGTTACGAAGCAATGGATCCGGAGCTACAGGTCGCTTCTGCCTCTGCTGCGAAACAGTTGCGCCTTATGGTGAGTTTGAGGAAAGGACCATGAGATGTCTGTTGAATGCTGTAATTATGAATGGTTCGTTTTTTGAAACCAATATTGGTACTATTGGGGTCTTGAATATATGTCTCATATCCTAGGATAATTGACTCCAATAGTATATCATTTAATCTTTCTAACATCTTTTTTCTGCTTCCTACTAACAAAATTCCCTACTTCTGCCTTAAACTTTACCCACTCCCCCAGATGTGTGGCTCTTCTGCACTTCCCCCTCCAGTCATGCAACAATGGGAGGATGTAACTGGACACAGACTTTTGGAACGATACGGTATGACCGAAGTAAGTGACTTTGGTTTGAGATTTTTTGTCAAGGTCATATTCTATTGATATAACGCTACTTTGTTTCCCAACCTTTTGTTTTCCTATATAGCTAGTAAAAACACACAAATATTGTTCTCATGGTTATGTTTGTGTTTCTAGTTTGTCATGGCAATTTCAAATCCTTTAAATGGTGAGAGAAAGGTTGGAACTGTTGGCAAACCCTTCCCTGGCGTCGAGGTTAGTAACTAATCCCTACTCGTGGAATCTAACTTTTAATCTAAAAAATGTTCTGGAAAAAGATTTCTTGCCAATCTGAATGGTCCTCCTGTACAGTCTTCTGTTTTATTTTTTTGTTAATGTATAGAAAACAGAGAATGGTTTAATCAAAACGAGCGTATAAACAGAGGAAGATGGGATATCCCCACAAGACCAATGGAGTTATAGAGAGGCTTCTCAATTGGCATAAACATGCAAAAGCTTATCATTACAAAAATCTATATAAAGGAGGCACCAAGAATAAATTTCGTGAGATCCTTTTGGCTGTGTGTGTTAGAATCAAACTCTTAAAATTCTCTGGTTCGAGAACAAATGCCCAAATTCTCTGTACTTTCCTCTGTTTTCAACTTTCAGCAGTTTTGAGGAGTAATACTATTAAGTGTATAACAGAAAAATATAGAGGGATAAAACTACACTCAGGATCACCTTCCGATCCCAGAATTCAGCTAGGAAAAGTTTGTCATATTATTATTACTATTTGTTGGAAACTAAAAACTAAATTAATTTAGAGAACATAAAGCTAACAAAAACGAAACAAGGGGATAAGATATCAGTTATCGCCCTAAAACAACGTATCTTGCAGAGGCTGCAAAAGAGATGGCCAGATGGGTAGTTGCAAGAAGCCATTGTCAAGGATGCTCCATTTAGAGATAGGAAAATTACAAACTCTAGGAAGGTATTTAGCTCCTCCCTTAAAAGATTCTGAAATTTACGCCCCGAGCACGTGCTGGTTTTTCACAGAATGGATAACTTCATAGGCACTGAAGGAGGAACTCTGCATAATCTCGATTGGTTCGGATCTTGGACGAACCATTTTTGAAATCCTATAGATAATAAAAGCATGCACACTCATACATATTACATAGTGTTAACAGCCCTTGTGAACTTTTTTTTTGTTTATTTGATTGCAAAGATGTAATGAGGCTGTAAAACTGGTGAAAGATCTACTGACCATTAAATCATCATACACTATTTTATCTGTACCTTTTAACTTAATTTTTTTATGCTCAACTTTTACGTGTGTTAGGCCAAGATTGTTGCAGATGATGAGAGTAGTAATGAGGGTGAGCTATGTATTAGAAGTCCTTCGATGTTTAAAGAATATTGGAAGCTTCCCGAGGTAAATAGAACCGTACAAATATGTAGTTTGCCTCGTTACTTCTCATTTCTCTTTTCGTTTTTAAATGTGTCATGTTGATTCTGAGTATTTTACTGTCTAGATTTAGAATATATTAGGATCTTAGAATGGGGTATCACTCTTTTATGATTGACATGCACAATAAGTTAAATAATTGAAGCATCTGCTAGTGACAACTCAATTAGTTCAATTAGTTTGAAATTTAAAATCTTATCAAAACAAAATTAGGAATTGTATTTGATTAAAATAAATCATGCAACTTCTATTCTAATTACAATTCATCCTTTAGGTTACCAAAGAATCGTTTTTAGATGGTGGTTTCTTCAAGACCGGAGACGCTGCTAGACGTGATGAAAATGGTTATTACATCATACTAGGACGTAAGTTACGAATACTACACAAGTGCTTCTATTGATTAGTATATATTTACCTGAATACACTCTTCGAGTCAGCTATGCCTTTCTTGTAAGATGCTTGCTGCTTTAGTGATATGCCAATACAATACAATCTAGTTCTTTGTTCATAAATTGGCTCTGCTATACCATGTAGTCTTATCAATGGTTGTCAAACTCTTTTTTCTTCACTTTTATGGCCTGCTTGTCAGATGACATGTTTTATGGTCTGAGCATGTGATGAACTAGAAGAATTGATTCCTGTTAGACATATAGCATCATCATCATCATCTACCCTGTTGAATAAATGCTGTCTTATTCTGCGTTGGGCATGAGAGTGTTGTGGGATCCTTCAGCGTTCCATCTTGCCAGTTCGATAGGAGTACAGTTTGATGGTGGTACATGCATCTGACAGCTAGAAGTTGTTAGCAAAGCATTTCATAGATGTCTTTGCATGCTTTTGTCAGCTACGTGCATATTTTAGTAGATTTTATCAACACCCTCCTGGTTTAGTGCTATGCTCCCACACACACAAATGACAATAGGCAATAGAATTGACATGTAAATTTGCATCCTTCAAATAAGTAATACCCAAAGTGGGTAACACAAGAAGTTCAGGGGCCCTGTTTCTCTCCCCTACAGTTGAGTCAGCCAAAAACAAGATAACTTGGAAATACCCCACCACTATCTTGTCAGTTCCCCACTATTCTTCTTCGTGTACTCCTTCCTTCCATGATTGTAACTGTATAACTAACTGCCGCCACCTCTTCTCCTGTCATCTCTTAATCTTTCGTAATTTCATATCATCTACAAAATTGATCCTGCCGTTTGAGATTGTTTGTGTTGATAATTTCCGTGTTTAGTTTGACATCCTTTTTTCATTTATGACATTTCAGGCATGAACGCTGATATCATGAAAGTCGGGGGATATAAACTATCAGCACTAGAGATTGAATCAGTGATTTTGCAGGTAACCCAATTGCCCCTCTTCTATTCTCTCTCTCTCTCTCTCTAAAGGAAAAAGAAAGAAAAGAAAGGTGAAATGACCAAAAGGCAAAAAAACTTTTGTGCAGCATCCTTCTGTCATAGAATGTTGTGTGTTGGGATTACCAGACAAAGACTATGGAGAACGTGTGTGTGCAATCATTGTGCTTGAGCCTAACTTCAAAAGGACGCCGCCTGATGACTCCAAGCCTGCTATCACCTTACTTGAACTCCGCACATGGGCCAGAGATAAGCTTGCTCCTTACAAGGTAATTCTTTTACAGAATCCCCTTCTCTCCTCTTCTTTACGAGTTTAGTCCATTTTCTCTCAGAATTGTATCTAATAGGTCTCTAAACTTTTAATTTTGTATCTACTGAGTTCTTGAACTCTACGTGATTATTAGATAAAAAAATGAAAGTTTAGAGTTCTAATAGACACTTAACTCATAACAATAATACAACGGCGTGTGTTTCAGTTACCGACCAAGTTACTGCTGTGGGAGTCGCTGCCTCGGAACGCCATGGGAAAGGTAAGAGTTGGCATCAGAAGAGATTGCTTTTTGTTGTGTCTGCTGTGGTGGAGACTAAAACTTGTCTTGAAACTGCAGGTCAACAAGAAAGCGTTGAAGAATAAGCTGGCAGCAGAAGACTAACTGTTGGTGATTAAAAGTGAGGCATAAATATTTACTATTAGTATTATTAGCATTGATTGTAGTTTCAGTAATGTAATAGCATTCCCAGCCAACTGAAGAAGCAAGTTGGAAAAGTCACAAATACCCCCCATTCATCTATTGTGTCGTTCTTAATCTTGTCACTAAAAGAGACACAAACTGTTCTAAAACGAAAAATAAATTTTCATATTTATAGGTCATATTTAGTCATTATACATGGTCAATATATCATTCAAATAATCTTTAGGTTGAACATATTAATGTCTTTAAGATTAAAATTTTCACTTGGATATTATTTTTGAAAGAGTTGTTAAATTTGTTAACAAAAAAAGCATTTTGTGGATATATTTGAACCTATGAGCATGATACATGAAATTTAACTTGCTTGAACTTTGACTTTTGGATCGAACTTTGACTTTTGGATCGAACTTTTGACTTTTTGATCGAGGATTTAATGTCCGTCGAGGAACCGAAATCTATTTCTTTCGAGTAAATGATACATTTGGTCTGAATAGAATGGAAATCCAAACTTAAGATTATATTATATATGAATATGATTATGCCTTTTTGGCAGTTTGATGAAACAGTGACCACAAAAGAACACAATATATACAGTACACACAAAACGCCATGTTCAAACCTGCAATTCCTTCGGCCTCTGCAACTCTACCATCTTCCCTTCTTCTTCCTTAACCCTAGCTTCCAACATCGACAATTCCTCCTCGTTGGAGCTGATTTTGCCGTCATCCATGGCGGTTCTCCGCTGGTCCACACACGGCCCATACGCCCAGCTACACACCACAAAATACAAGATGTTGACGCCGCTCAGAATCGCAAGAATCCAATAGTAATTCTCGAAATGGGCTCTGTTTATGTTCTTGGAAACCCAGCTCTGTTTCCCCCCTTTGGAGGTGACCTCATCCACCGCGCTCAAGATCGCACTGGCCAACAAATTGGCCACCGCCATCCCCAATCCGAACAGAGAAGAAGCCACACTGGACATCGTCTTGGGGAATTCGGAGTAATAGAACTCGGTCTGGCCGATGGCGTTTAGGGCTTCGGCCAATCCGCTCAAGCAGTGCTGCGGGACGAGCCAGAGAGCCGAAATGTCGACGACGGCGTTGGGATCGTCGAGGAGGCCCTGTTGGATGGCCTTCCGGCGGCGGACGTTCTCGACGACGGCGGAGAGGGCCATGGCGAGGAAGGAGCAGAGGAGGCCGGCGCCCATCCGAGACTTGACGCCGAAGTGAACGGGTTTGCCCCTGATCTTGGAGGCGAGAGGGAGAATGGCGCGGTCGTAGAGGATGACCCAGAGGACGATGGTGATGATGACGAAGGTGCCGAAGGAGCCAGCGGGGATCTGGAAGGAGGAGGCAGAGGAGATGCGGCGGTCCATGGATTTGGCTTGGAGCAGAGGGAACGAGCTTTGGCTGACGTTAATGGACATCATCACGCCGGTGGACCAGATCGGAATCACTTTTATTAGGGTTTTCAGTTCTTCCACTTGCTCCACTGTGCACAGACTCCATGGATCTGAAGCTCTGCCGTCCGCCAAAATGTCTTCCTCTGCGTTCTTCACCACGCACGCCTTGTTCAGAAACCTGCCCCGAAGCCCAATTTCAAATTCATCAATTAACTGTAATTTTTAAATTTTAAAATGTTTAAATAAAACTTCAAAAAATATATGTTTTAATACAAAATTCGAAAAATAATATTACTTTGAACTTGGAACCTTTTCCAAGTTTCCAACACAGGTTCTGAATGCCGAAAAATGTGTGTTAAGAAAAGAAAGAAGTGAAATGATAATAAAATCATCTTGAGATGTGTACTTCTTACATTAACAATTTTTTTCAATTTATTTTAACATGTCATAAATTAAAGATACTATTTATTTGGAAAAAGAACTTTAGATCGTAATAGCAGTATCAAAAAAGTCGATGAAAGTGGAGAGAGTTTGAAAACAGAATGCACTTTTTTTTTTTTCCACTCTAATTTTAGCTATCTTTAATTTCCTTTTATAAGACTACTTTTAAGACAGCGACCTTCCAGATGAACTTTTAGAATTAAGAAAACCAATAATAGTTTTTCTAGTTCTAAAAGTAGAAAGCAAGGAAAGATATATATAATCATCTTACTAAAGTACGTGTTTAATGTTAATCATTCTTAATTTAAATATAACTCAACTAATTAAATAATATATTTCGATCCTATTGAACATTCAAGTTTAGAGTAAGTTAAAAATAGGAAAAATTAAGTGCACCATATATGAATTGGAACTAAATCTAAAGTAATAAGACTAAGTTGAAACTAAAAAAAAAAAGATAAGGATCAGATTAAATATTCATCCCACCAAACCAATTTAGTATTTTATTTTTGATTTTCTGTTTTTTAAAATTAAGCTTACAGTAGTCACCTTCACGTATGTATTACTTTTATGTTATAATCAACTCTCTGGAATGTTTTCAAAATCTTATTTTAAAAAATGGCTAAAAAAATCATATGTGTTTTTGAAGGAATGTAAAAATGGAACAACTTTCAAAAACAAACGATTAATTTAACAACAAAAATATTCTTCTAACAAATAAAGTATAAAATCAACTTCCACAACCAAAATCTCACGATAATGAAAAAACATATAATATAAAAATGACCTGAGCTTTTCAGACGGTTGAGTGAGATAAGAATCCTTATGGTAGAACCATTTATCCGACGCCGGCGGCGGGAGCGGCAACTTCCGGTTCTTAAACGCCGCCACCGCCACCTGTACGAAGCTACTGAACAAGCTCTTGGTGGCCCTCTGTTTCACGTAGATCGGAGAAGCGGCGAAGAACAGGACGGTGGCGAAAAGCATGAGGCTCGCCGGAACTCCGAATCCGATTTTCCAGCCGAGATGGTCCTGAATGTACACGATTCCGGTCAAGGCGATTAAAACGGAGAACGAAGCCGACGCGTAGTACCACCCGAAGAATCTCTCCAGAATTCTCTTGTTGTTGGGATCCTCTCGCCGGTCGATTTGGTCGGCGCCGAACGCCAGCGTGCAGGGCCGGACGCCGCCGGCGCCGACCGACATTAGCCCGAAGGCGGCCACCAGAAGGGTCATTTGGCCGGCGCTCGGAGACCGGCAGGTTAGTGGGTGGAGTGGGTCGCAGGCGGGTGGCTTCGTCGCCGGAACCATCGCCGTCAGCCATAGCAGCGCCATGCCCTGCCGGAGAAACAGAGACACCAAAACGACCACGTACGTAAAGCCTTTTTAATGTTTAATTTAATGAACCACCGTTCAAAAACTCTGAATATGTGGAGAGTTAATGGTAGTAATTTACAAAACACAAAACTAACTATTTTGAAGCTTCTTAAAAAATAGTATTATTTTAGAATGAATTTGAGAGTGAATCATTGCTTCAACATATTTTGAAAAAACAATTGATTAAAAGCAATTTTTGACTGCATTTGAAAATTTTAACCTGTCAAAAAAAAAACTAGAAAAGTCGCTAATATTATAATAAGGAAAAAAACAGGAGGAGAAAGGAGAGAGGGAATTAGAAGGCCAAGTCAAGTCACAGTGGAGTAATAATAATAAATAAATAAATAAAAAATATCTGAATCAAAAGACATATAACAAACAGTAAAGTATTACCCCCATCTCATCACTGACACCTTTATTACACAAAAAGAAGAGAGAGAGAGAGAGAGTTCTGAAAAGTTAGAAAAATAAAAAGTGAGCAATACAAGTAAAATTATAAAGAATATCTCACTGTTTTCGATCTCTGTATTATCAGAAAAGAGAGAAAAAAAAAAAAAAAAAGAAATCCAAAATCTGAGACCCACAACAAGACAGGCTCTAACTCATTTACCACAACACAGAAATCAGAAGATCTTCTTGAAAAGAAACAGTAACCCAAAAATAAAAAAATAATTAATGCGAGATGGAGATGGGGAAAAAAAAATCCTTAAATTACTACTAACTTTGTCTTTGTCCATGGTTTTCAACGCCGAAAGTGGCGAAACCAACAGACAAATTAATAAATTAAATTAAAAAAAAAAAGAGTGTTACCAGGAAACTGGCAATAGAGCCGAATCCGATGGTGAGGAAGCGGCCGAGATAAGAATCGGCGAGGAAAGCGCCGAGGAGGGGCATGAAATTGGTGGCGGCCGACCAGAAGAAGAGGACGTTGTTTCCTTTGGCGAATCCCAAATTGTAATCCTTCATTAGGTACAGAATCATGTTGGGCAGTAGTCCGTAACTCGCCACTTTCTCGAACGACTCGTTCGCTGCAAAAACACCACCCATAACCCATCAAACCAAACGATGTCGTTTCTTCTTTTTCTTCTTTTTCTTTTTTATTTTATTTTGTGAGCCGTACCTATGATGAAGGGCATGGTGAGGAGGCCGCCTTTTGTTGATTTGGGTGCGTGGTCATGGGACGGCGTCGTTTCTTCCAGATTTGTTTGTTGTGTGTTCACACTACTGCTCTGCATTGTTGCAGATTCCTCCATGGATGGGCCTCTGGATTTTGGCTCACTCTCTCGGGAAGAAGAAGAAGAAGCTAAGGCAGTAGAGAGAGAGAGAGAGGGAAAAAAAAGATGGGTTTTTTGGGAGTTGTAGACATTCCTATATAAAGGGGCCATTTGCTGATGCGATCGCTGTCTACAATTTCAGCAAGAAAAAAATAAATAAAATAACAATAAAAAAATGAGGGTTTGGAAGAAACTTTTCAAAATTATTTCAAGGGAGTTGAATTTAGCTGGCGCTGTCTGGGCTACTAAAAGGCGCCGGAACCAACAATTATTATTATTATTTTTTTCTTTTCTTGAGTTCGTGGGCGAAGATTGAAAAGGTAATATACCTATTAATTATACTTGAGTTGTGATTATTATGAATACTTTGGGTTGTGATTATTATGAATTATTGATTCGAGGGATAATTCAACGATAATGAATATATATCTCCAACTAAGAGTATATTAGTTCGATTATCCATTCCACGTGGTGTACTAAAAAACAAACAATATTGATTTGTGAAATTAAAGGAAAATAATTGTATTTCGATCCTTATTATTTTGGATTAATTTCAATCTACTCCTTGTATTTAGAAGTTTTAATTTTGACTCCCGTAATTGTGTGGATTTACTTTAAGCTCTGGCGGTCCTTATTTTATAAAATCGTACACATGTGGTTGTCCAAGTTGTCTATGTGGTATGTTTTAAAGTTACGCGATAATGAGCTAGTGTTTTGTATTTTGTGTTAGAGTTTGAATAATATTTATTTTATGGCTCGTTTGTAGGAACTTTTAATTGCTCACCGTTATGTTTTTTTTTTTTATTTTTTATAAATAAGAGTGTTGATGACGAGTTTCGAAAATGTCCACATATTCTTTAGAACGGAGTTTCATGCACAAACGAGCTTGCAACAACGATCCTCGACACCGGTGCAGTGCTCCGCCTAATGGACTCCAACAACCAAGTCAATAATCGTTAGAGTAAAAATAGCAAAGAGACCCTTAGAAAATTAGTGATAGTTTCACTTATTAAATGGTGGTGGTTCTTCCATTTTATAGTTGTTCATGGCCGACCAAGGAGGACATTTTATATGTGGTGCAGCGGTGCTCCTCATCGTACGAGATTGAAAGGGACATGCGAGGATATTCTTGATGCACAGTAGACACACTGTCATCTACCAGTCTGTCTTATCTACATACTGTCGTCTGCAGCTGCAACACGTCTCCTATATTGTGCAGTAGTAGGGCATGCAACCCCCAGTCCTGATCTCTAGTTCGTACGATTCACGCGTATGCAGTCCGCCTTCCAATTATCATCCTCCAAGACTTCACACGTTCCCTGTTCGGATTTCTCCCTAAAAAATAATATAGTCAACGACAAAGGTGAGAAATTTTATCTTTCCTTGCAAGGAAAAGAAAAGGTAAGTGTAAAATTTGTATTCGTGGTCAACAAAAATCTTTATTTTATCCATCAAACGGTAAATACTATTCTTAAGAATGAATTAAGCTAGAAACTATATTAGCATGTAGTAAATTAAAAATTTAAAAGTAATAAAAAGGAGGGGTTGAGGTTGAAATAAAAAAGAGGGGAAAATGGAGGATAATAACGGGGGCATGAGGGGATATAGTGCGGTAGGCTTTACAATAATTACAATGGTCCACCGTGTCCATTTTTGCGTGCCCTTTCTTGCATTGCAATCACGGGCCACTGTTGAAAAAGAATATTAATTTTTTAAAAAATAGAATAAAAAAGAAAAGAAAAGAATAAAAAAAATATTTCTTCAGTGTCCTTAGACAGATGCTATGAATGGATGAATCATAAGTGAATCTTGACTTTCTGATCCCATCCCATGCTGTTCGATCAATTTTGGTTTTGTTTTTCTATGGGGAAACTCCCATTTTTACTCAACCGTTTTAATCTTGAACTTTCAATTTCGTTCATTCAAATCTCGAGAGTAAAGAAGGTTACTACTATTCTCCATTAGTTATGTTTAAATTACCTCCTAGTTAAGACTATTTTTATAGATCGCAATTTTCTTAATTGTGTTGAATGCTTTTATTTGGTTGGATTTGGACATTTTACTTTTCTTAAGTTTGAGCATCGATTATTTGCTCGTCTTGAAGTCTCTTATTTTGATTTATCGAATCGAGAGATCTATGAATCGGGATCCTAATACATATAAATACAAATGATCCAATAAGAATAAAAAATATTGAAAAAGACTTTTCTTAATAAGAAAAAATAAAGACTTACTGTTGAATAAATTTAAATACTTCTAGTGATTAGGTTTTGATGATTTGTGTGCTTAGTCGTTGAATTTTTTATAATTTACAATTTAGAGAAAAGTTTTAAATTTAGTTTCGAATAAATATAAATGGATGAAATTAAAAGTTTAAGGTTAAGTTAAAATTAAGTCAATTTTTTAAGTTTATGATTAAGCGAAGTAAATGTGATTTTTTTTTTTTTAAATTTTACCTAGCTTTTTTTTAAAAAATTAATATAGATGTTTAGTTATGAATTTGTGGGTACGGTAGAGAGAATTTGAGTTTAATACGGATAGCTACTTCTCAAATTTATGAAAATGATAGATATCTCAATACATTATTGATGTCTAATGATATTTCTAAAAGAAAAAAAAAGTATAAACGAATAAATTCACAATATTTATTTAAATCCAACAAAAAAAATCCTGAAATAAATATTGTTTATTACTCACGAATAAAGAAAAAGTAAAATAAATGTTAAAGAAAGACTCTGGCATCAACTATTTGTGCGTGTGTGTGGTCATTGTCATTAGATATTCATATTACATTATTATTTGATAGAAATATTGTATAACATTGTTTAACTTGTACTATATTCTAGACTAATGTCTAACATGGTATCCAATTAAAAAAAGAATAGAGATCACCTAAATTTTATGTTCAATATAGTATAACAATTAATCAACAATAACAAAGCAAAACAATGAAAGTTTGTTGGGCATTTTCTAACATCACTCATATATCATTGTAAAACATTATGATTTTACATGGAAGTGATCGATTTTAGTAATAACAATGTTAAAAACACTTGGTCACCTGAGATTTCGCCAAATTCGTACCAATCTTCAATAATAAAAGAGATCGACGAGACCTGCAAAGTATAAAAGCACTAAAGACCGGTGTGGCTCTTGCCACACAGGCTCCGATGCTTAAGTCAGAATCRGAGTAGTTGAGTATAAAGTATAGGACCGAGACCAAGTCGATTCGGACTGGGCTTGCACAGGGGTCGAGGTTCATCAGAGAGGTTCTCGACCACTGGGCCAAGAACCCCTTGGCACCGAGCACTGCACGGCGCCAACCCTGGCTCACCTATGGCTGGCCCGGGCCGCTGGGCCCCGACCCACTTACCTCTCTTCAGGTCCGCTCTTTCTTCGACTCTCTTTCCTCTTTTCGATTGTTTAGTCTAACCTCTATTTTCTTCCTATAACAATGTTTTAATAATTGACAAAGATATGACCAATCGTTTCCAAAAAAAAAAAAAACCAAAATCACTTCTAAACATGTCCTAATCTTTTGACAATGATATACAAGTGGTTTTAGAAAATAGGATCAGAATCACTTCTAAACATGCTCTAATCTTTTGGCAATATATATATACAAGTGGTTTTAGAAAATGGAAAAAGTGATTCTAATTTTGCCAAAATCACTCTCAAATATGACATAATATATTTAAGATTGAAATATCATTTTCATCCCCGTAATTTCAACTTTTGCTTATTTTATATATTTTAATTTTTGTTCATTTTATTATATGTATTCTTAAAACGTTCATTTTGATCATTGTAAAATATTATAATTTTAAATGGAAGTGATCGATTTTAGTAATGACAATGCTAAAACACTTATAAACATGTCCTAATAATTGACAAAAATATACACCTTATTTTAGAAAATATGACCAATCGTTTAAAAAAAAAATCAAAATCACTTCTAAACATGTCATAATCTTTTGGTAATGATAGGTGGTTTTAGAAAATCTAAACATGCTCTAATCTTTTGGCAATATATATAAGTGGCTTTAGAAAATGGAAAAAATAATTCTAATTATGCAAAAATCACTCCCAAATACGTCATAATATATTTAAGATTTAAATACCATTTTGGTATCTATACTTTCAACTTTGATTATTTTATATGGTCCTTGTAGTTTTAACTTTTGTTCATTTTACTATCAGTGTTTTTAAAATGTCCATTTTGATCATGGTACTCTTACAAAAGTTGTCATATTGATCCCTTTATTATATCATTTTCATCTCATTTCTTTCCACCATAATTTTAACAGCATAACACTTGACTCGCTAAACTAAAAGAGAAAAATAAAGGTTATTTTGATCCATGTACTTTCAGCTTTGGTTTATTTTATATGATCGTTGTAGTTTTGACTTTTGTTCATTTTACTATTTGTATTCTCAAAACATCCATTTTGATTATTCTACTTTAACAAAAGTTGTCATATTGATCTCTTTATTATATCATTTTCATCTCATTTCTTTCAACCATAATTTTAACAACATAACACTTTACTCGCTAAATTTTTTAAAACGTAACCATATATTTGGATTAAAGTGTTTCCATTACGTATAATTTTTTTGTTGAAATTGTACAAATAAAGACTAAATTAGTCACATTTAAAAGTATAGAGACAAAAATAGACATTTGAGAGAACAAATACACACTAAAATAGACAAATTAAAAAACATGAACTAAAATAAACCTTTTGAGAATAGTGAGATGAAAAAATAACCTAAAGCTAAAAAGTAAAATAACCCTATCAAGTAAGAGTAAGAATATAAGAGGTTTCTTGTGGTGGGGGGCAAAGAAACAAGGGGTGAATTTTTTCTTGGGAAATGGGAACATTTTTGAGTTTACAAGTTACCATTTAACTTTTCAAATGAGCTATTTCACTGCCTATGATGTGCACTTGTCCATAACTCAACAACTCTCTCTATATTTAAATATTTAAATATTTAAATATTTAAATTTATTATATAAATATATAAATATGTGAGAGATGGTTTATATTTACATGTTGTGAGTGTTCTGTACTTGGTTTGGTCTAAATGTCCATATCTAGAAGTTGCTTTTTCATTTCCTTTTCACCCACTCAACATCCCCCCAAATATAAGCATAAATTCCAATCTATTATTGCTTTTAATCTCTCTTTTTTCCAATTTTGTTTTCTTTTTTTTTTTTTGTTAATTAAAACATTCTTTTACACCCTTTTGGACTTGGTTCAAATTTCAATCATGTTGAGTGAAGGAAGGAAATAGGGGATGGATAGAGTACAAGTAAATATTTTCAATTACGTCACCCAATTAAATATTTTCAATCATGATTGTGTTTCGCTTTCTTTTCCATTAGTTAGGTTTCGGGTTAATTTTAATTTTCATCGCTCCTTAATTTTAGCAAAAAATTATTATATCACTATCAAGAGTAAAACTTTACTATATATGAATGGAAAATTCTTGAATCGACTTTGATTAGAAATATTGATAAAGATTTTTTTTTAAACAAAATCAGCCCCTCCCCCCACCCCCAATTTAAGAAATCTAACAATAAAAAAAATTCATTTTCTAGTATTTATATAATTTTTCATGGCTAGAATTCAAAGAGAGTGGAAACAAAGTTCATAAATTACATAAAGAATACATAAAGAAAATGGTTGATGAAA